TACTATGTGGAAACCACCTCTCAGGCCATCTCCAGGGGTAGGCTGGACCCCAGGACAGCAGCCCTGGCTGAGGCCCCATCCCCTGGACCACTGCCAAGCCCCCTGGGAACAGGGGCAGCCTCCGATGATACAGGAGGGGGAGCAGAAACAGCCGCCTCCCCCAGACCTGTGCTGTCATCCTCCACACAAGGCTTCAGCAGGAAGGAAAGCCTCCTGCAGATCGCAGAGAACCCAGAGCTTCAGTTACAGCTTGATGGCTTCGGGGACCCTGCTCCACACAGCCCAGACTGGGGTGCCCTGCCTGGTTCAGCCAGAATCAGCGGGGAGCCTCACATGCAGCTCGTGGCCAGGACAAATTTCTTCCACCTCCCACCCACCCCCGCCTCAACCCCACACATCCAGCTGGATCTGGACAACTGCTATGAGGTGCTGACCTTTGCCAAGAGCCAGAACCTGGAGGCCCTGAAGGAGGCAGCCTACAAGGTGATGAGTGACAACTTCCTCCAGGTACTGCGTAGCCCGGACATCTACGGGGGCCTGAGCGGGGCAGAACGGGAGCTGATCCTCCAGCAACGGCTCCGGGGTCGCAAGTACCTGGTAGTGGCCGACGTGTGTCCCCAGGAAGACTCCGGCCGCCTCTGTTGTTACGATGATGAGCAGGATGCCTGGCACCTGCTGGCCCGTCTGCCCCCCGAGGCCATGTCCCAAGGCTGTGCCATCTGCAGTCTCTTTAATTATCTCTTCATGGTGTCTGGCTGCCAGGGGCCCAGACACCAGCCCTCCAACCGCGTCTTCTGCTACAACCCACTGACAAGGATCTGGAGCGAAGTGTGCCCGCTGAACCAGGCCCGGCCACACTACCGACTGGTGGCCCTGGACGGGCACCTGTACGCCATTGGGGGAGAGTGTCTGAACACGGTTGAGTGTTACGATCCTCGCCTGGACCGCTGGGCCTTCGCNGGGTGTCTCCCTGCTGCCTGGGCCAGGAAGCCGGAGCAGCTGTTGGCGGTAAGCCTGACCCTCCCTGCCACCCCCTTTTGGGCAGTGAACCCAAAAGCTCCCCAACTGGACTGGCTGCAGTGGCGGACGGCAGCTGTGTGGGTGGTGAGCCCACTCCATGGTGGGATGGTGGGTCCCCCAAGCAGCCAGGGTCAGGGGAGCTGGAATCCTCCCACCAGCGCTGGATGGCCCCCGCAGACCGTAGCAGTGACATGAACCAGAGCTGGACCGTCAGCCGTGTGACAGGGGTCAGCAGGGAAGAGGCCAGGGCCCTGCAGGCTGCCTCCGACATGGGCCTGGCCCTGTATCAGCAGGAGGGAGCCTCCTATACCTTCTCTTCTGTGGCCAGGGTCCGAATGGAGGAGAGTTTCATACAGAAGGTAGAAGGCATGGGGCCCAGGCTGAAGGGCAAGGTGTACGATTACTATGTGGAAACCACCTCTCAGGCCATCTCCAGGGGTAGGCTGGACCCCAGGACAGCAG